ACCACAATTGGGGTATTACTCACACACAGCGATGCTATACTTTAACCACAATTGAGGGTATTATGACCACAATGTCATAGATTTATCATTACGTATAGACTTAGCATTGCTATAAAGTTAGCATTACCCATGTTAAAGTATAACCATAGACTTATACTGCAATTTCATGTTAAATCTCATAAAGTGGAGGCCGGACGAGTGGCAAAACAATCCAATAAACCACATTATTTATATCTGAATTGTGGTTACTCATCTCAAATAATATCTTAAATAGTTAGTTAATAAAATTAATATAAAAATCTTTTTAAAAAAATAATTGTTTATTAGTTTTAATGTTAAATATTTAAATATATTTTTAAAAATTTGAAAAACACTTGACAAGTTACTATGGAACTTATATGAACTTAGGGTTGGCAGTAGTGACCATCGTCATGGTCAAATATTTAAACATAAATTAGTTATTTTTTAATTACCAACTGATAAATAAATATACTTTTTCTAAAATGAAGCAAACAAGTGAAACATTTAAACCAACAATTAATATTGACAAATTATTACGAAACGTCTCATCAAGATTGATTTGAAAACTATTTAATTGACTTTCATCCATTGACTTTTTGCGTAGCATGCTTGGCAAATCATTATTGTTTAAACTTATTATTCGAACCATAACAATACGGATTGCAGTATCATGTATATCAAGTCCTGACTCCAATATTCGTTCAAAACTAAAACAATTCAAGTAATTAATTGAGTAATTGATTATTTGTCAATACATACGCAAAGACTAAACTTTTTCTGTAGTGTAATCCATGGTCTATTTGTACAAAACCATAATAATATAAATATGCGTTTTCATTGCTTGATACTGAAAATTTATCACGGTCAGTTACGTGATAATCATTAAAGCGAGTGCTTTCTCTAGAATTGGTAATTAAAACGATTTTATTGTTTATTAGATGAGTAAATGAAACATCGTAATATTCTGTTTCAATTCGTTTTAATAAATTGAATCTTGATTGTTGATTGATATAATTGCTCGCATATAAGTCGTCTATTATACTCTTATTACGCGTACCAATAGTTAAGGACTCGTATCCGCACAATTGTTCCAATGACTCCACCATTGGTACAGAAGTTACTTTGAAATACGTGTTTAATAAAACACTAGTGAATGATTTTGTGATTATTGATGCTATGAGTAGCCATATTGTTAATAACATGTTAAATGTATATACTTTTAATTTGCTTGTTGAGTTATTTCTAAATTTAAAACGTGCTAAAGATACATCTCCTTGATTAGTTAGATATCTAATTATATCAACATATAGATTTAAAATATATAAACTATGTTTGTTAAATTGTTTGAATAAATGAGGCAATATCAATGCAAAAAATAATAATAGTGACCATATCTAAATTCAACATAATTTACAAATTAAATTAATCAATATGCTAAACATTTATATCTTTAAATTTAAATAAAAATATAACGTACCTTAATGTCAAACAAACCAATAAACGCAAAATATAAATGGTCTTGTTTAAAAACCATTCCTGAAATTATGTGTGCTAAATAACCTTGATATATTGTAACAATATTTGTATCATTTGAGTATTTATCAATTTTCCTTGGGTCATAATATAATATTTGCCGCTATTATGTAATTAAAAAATTAAATAAAGAATAAATGATTGCTATTTATATTTCTGAAACAATTTATCTTAAGTATACTTTACTTTATCAATAACCTGATATCCAATGGTCAAACATAGTCTACAAACAATATATTCAATGATTGTTAGTTCACGACCAAATAGAAACTCCTAATTAACAAATATAATGAATAAAATATAATTTAATTTAATTTAAATACAACTTTATTTCGAAACAGAGTGATATGTCCATTTTCTATACATGGTGTATGGCATTTTGTTCGGGCGTTTAATGCTTTATTATATGTCGAGTAGCGAATCAGACCATCTATATATTTAATTGATAGTGTGTAATACACTGTGTATACAGAGGTGTTTGACATGGTTAAATGTTATACCGACATTTAAATAATGCTCGGTGTTTAAATATACACAGGTAATTTATTAATTTAATTTTTTATAGTAGTTTATGATGCTCGTATTATCTGCAAAGAATAAAAAGAATAATAACACGTTAAATAATTTATATTATAATATATACTAATAGTAATAACTACTACTAAAACACAAAATATATTTAACAATAATATTTTCATATGAACAATAGTATATATTGATTTACTTCTAATTATTTTGTTGGCAATCTAAATAAATAATTAAATTAAATAAATTTTTAAGTACTAATTCTATTATTATAGCCTCAATTAATTAATTTAAATTCAATAAAATTATTAACCTTAGCACCGACACCAGAATTTCAATTATTACTAAATATTAGTAGCATTTGAATAGCATAAAAATTACACAGCAATGATTCATATCTATTAAGTATCTAGGGATTTCAAACTCTACAGAATAAATATAATAATCACATATAAATTATCGTTTATAATAAATTTAATATACTACTAATTATATATAATTAATTTTAAAAAATAGACAAATTATTATGCAAAGTAAATTTTTGACAAATATTATATATAATTAAATGTTAAATAATCAAAACTCTTACAAAAAGTTTATATTTAATTATATATTAATCCAAACAAAATTAAATTTAAAAATAGCAAATAATATTTAACAATATCTTAAACTCGAAGCCAATATAAAAGTGCATATAAGATTTATATAGTGCATTTTATAAGACAGCAAAAATAACATGCATAATTAATCAAGATGACATTAACTATTAACTAACATGAATGTGTTAAAAAAAACAATTGTTAAAATTAAACTCGTACAAGATTTTATATTAATAGTTATATTAATAATTTTCTCAATAATTGTATAAATAATAAATAAATTTAATTAATTATAGTTATATTAAATTATAAACATATTTGCATGTTTTCAAAGCAAAATGTTTTTAAATAAGACAATGTTGAACACAAATACAGTGCAACCTCTCTTATGGGAACACCTCCTCATAGTGTACTGATTTGAAATCTTCGTTGGATTTTCTATTCTTCTCGTAGGAGAACTTCTCCATAAGGAATACCTCCCCATTAGGAACGGATTTATAGAGATTAAGATAAAACTTCCACTCCCTATAAGGAACAAAGATAATAATAAGCACATGATTGCTAAAAGTATTAAAAATAGTTTTTAATCTAAGACTTTAAGCAAACAAAACACACACTTTTATATCAAGTTTCATTCAATATTGTAAGAAATGTGTATTTATTCTCTGATTAGTGAACTATAAATTATTACTTTACATTTAGAGACGCATCCAATGTTCAAACATTTAAACAAGTGGACAAAATTAACATTAAAGCATTTAATTGTCACTTTATTACTATTAAACAAACTAAAATTACTTATTATCAAAGCTTCCATTTTCCGGGAGTAAAAACATCCAAATTCGGGAATTAGCTGTGTGTTAGTAATACCCCAATTGTGGTTAACGTATAGCATCGCTGTGTGTGAGTAATACCCCAATTGTGGTTAACGTATAGCATCGCTGTGTGTTAGTAATACCCCAATTGTGGTTAACGTATAGCATCGTATTAATGTATATTTTGATTTCTCAAAAGTTAAATAAACAAGGTTTGCACGCAAACCTATGAGTTAATCACATTTCGGGATATGCTAAATAATATAAAGTGTTTGTTATTTATATAATTCCTATTGTTATTTTCATAAATTTTATTGTTTATGCTACGTTTTATGATTGTTGTGAATTTTTAACCACAATTCATATATGAAGATATTTAACATTGCTATATATTTAACATGGCCATATATTTAACATGGCTATATATTTAACATGGCCATGAACATCGACTTACAATTACTGGTAAACAAGGATCACACAGCGATGCTTTACGTTAACCACTATTTGGGTGATTCTCAGAGAATAGATTAGCATTATCTACACATTCAATAAAAGTCTATAGGATTAGCACTCCCCATAGACTTCGCATTGTCCATATACTTAACATTAGTTCATAGGATTAGCATTATTCTCATTGAGTTAGCATTATCCGTGTTATCCCTATGCCATAGACTTAGCATTACCCATGTTATCCTTATGCCATAGACTTAGCATTACCCATGTTATCTCTGTGCCATAGACTTAGCATTACCCATGTTATCACTATGCCATAGACTTAGCATTACCCATGTTATCCTTATGCCATAGACTTAGCATTGCCCATAGACTTATCATTGTCATAGACTTAGCATTAGCCATGTTAAAGAATTGCCATAGACTTAAGCTGTAATCCCATGTTAAACTCCATAGGTTGGGGCTGGATGGAGGGGAAGGGGTAGCCGAACGATTCTATAAACAACATTATTCATATCAGAATAGTGGTTAAAAATATATGAGAAAGGACATTCAACATAGATGTTAATTTTATAGCCAAATGATTAGCATTATCTGCATGTTAATTTAATTGCCATAAGATTCTCCCATTGTTAAAGTATAGCCATAGGATTAACATCAATAGTCCCATAGGATAGAGTAGGGGAAGGTGGCACTCAAATCTGTTATTCTCTGAAATTGCCATTAAACATTACATTATATCAGGAATGCCATAAGACATGATTTAAGTAGACGTAGGTTTAGTGCTATCATTGTGTTTGATATATTAATAGTGCTACTCACTATTATATTGTACTTTACATAAATGCTAACACAATTTTGGCACTTTCTGCCATTACTGCATTATACACTCGCTATTAATATGATCTTTAATGGTTAGAAATTTATTTAACTAAGATGCTATTAGATTTCTGATTTTAATCAAATAATTTTTAATTACAATTCAGAATGAAAAATGTAGTTTATAGGATCTCGACGATACCCCTCCTCCAAGTCTATGGCATAAGAATTACATGAGTATTGCTAATGCCATGGCATAGGAATAACATGAATAAGGCTAATTCCATGGCATAGGAATAACAAGGGTAATGCTTAGTTTATGGGCAATGATTAATCTTTATGACTAATGCTAATCCTATGGCAATACTTAATTTATGGTCATCATGGGTACACATACTAATCCTATGTACTCGTATGGATTCTATAGACAATGCTGATCTCTTTTTTTGAATACTACCCGAATTGTAGTTAAAGCATAGCATCGCATGTAATACTTGTTTTAAGCATAGTCATTATACGTGCAATAATTCTGTCAAGTCAGAAATTTGATTGAATTAATTTTCTTAGTTAAATAAATGGTTAACAAGTAAAGTTCATATTGATATTGAGTATATGTTGATATTTTATACTACCTTCTCACTGTTTGTTATAATATTGTAGGCAACGACTTTACTATCATCTCTGGGCTTTGAAAAAGTAATTTCAACTCTAAATGAATATGAGCTGTTGATTGCTTCACAATTAGTTGATGCTTCGGAAATTGATGTTACGTTTAAAGATATAGCTGGTTTAGATGATGTTGTAGATACAATCAAGTCAACTATTATATTACCACTTTTGTTGCATCCAATTTTAAAGCAAAAATCCCAATATTTTCAACCACCTAAAGGAGTTTTGCTCTACGGTCCTCCCGGATGTGGTAAAACAATGATTGCAAAAGCAATCGCTAAAGAAGCAAATGCTCGGTAAATATCTTTTTACGTTTTTATCATGCATTAAGTTAATGACTAATATACACTTTAAAAAGATTCCTTAATTTGGAAGTTCCTGCATTGACTGATAAATGGTATGGAGAATCACAAAAATTAGCAACGGCTGTATTTAAGTTATCAGAAAAGTTGCAGCCATGCATTATTTTTATTGATGAAATTGACACATTTCTCCGCGCGAGAGGCAGAAATGATCACGAGGCAACTGCAATGATGAAAGCCCAATTTATGATTTTGTGGGATGGATTAAACACAAAAAAAGATAACCATGGTGTAATTGTTTTAGGTGCAACAAATCGTCCACATGATGTCGATGTGGCTATCCTTCGAAGAATGCCTGCAATGTTTGAAGTTCCTCTACCGAACTGCCACCAGAGACAAAAAATCTTGAATCAATTACTTATTAATGAACAATTAGAAAGTGACATCGATTTTGAAAAATTAGCCGGTTCAACAGATGGATTCTCTGGTAGTGACCTTAGCGAGTTGTGTCGAAATGCTGTGTTTACTCGTTTACGTAACGAAAAATCAAAAATTCTTGAAATTTTATCAAACGCTACAGATAGCAACAAAGAGGGTCGTTTATCGGAATTTATATCAAAAATTAGAAATGTAAATGCCAACGATTTTCAGTCAACTCTCATATATATGAATAAACATAAATATTCATATAATAAATTTAATGCCGATTTGTGCATACATGATAAGGAGTAATTCATGTATGTTTTATCGAAATCATGAGACTAAAATATGCTTTTCATAATAAAAATATTTTTGATAAAACATTTTATTTTTATTATTATTTGACTTAAAAAATTTATTGTATATAATGATAAGATGAGAGTTCGTAATAATAATAAAAGTATGTTTTTTATTACTTTTATAAATTATTTATTATGTTGTCGTTGAAATTAAAAGTTTTTACTTTTAAGGCAAACCATCAAAATTATTGTATTAATGTATTACAATAAATTAATTTATGTAAAATTTAAAAATGTGAATGAGTTAAATTAATAAATCTATTAAAATTAAAAATTTAATGAAATAATAAGCAATAATTATTATGATGTATACCGTTAACCAGAATATTTGTTTTCGCACCGCAGTCTTTGTTTGAACCTCTTATTCTCTCTCTCTCTCTCGTAAACAGAGGTAACAACTAAAAACTGAGCACTAAGATTGG